GAAAGAAGACGGTGGAAATAGAGGGAGGGAGTGGAACACGCCTGGCATCGGGTTGGAGCATCCCAGCACGTCAGAGGAGGAGGACGAAGAGGGGGACGAAGGGGAAGAGGAGGGGGGGAGGATTGGCCAGACCTGGATCCGGATACCATGAACCGCCCTCCCGTCGTCCGAGAGGCGCCACCCCCTTCGCACCTGCTCCCCGCCCGCACCCGCCCCCTGGACTCGCCTTGGTTATCCTTGACCTCTTTTGCCGCCGTTTCCTCATCCTCCTTCGCTTCCTCTTGTCTCCCTACTACCACTGCGCGTCCCTCCGTCCCGCCCAGTCGGACCGCGGTGGGAGCGCCTCCTCCCCCGGCTGGATGCACCGCTTCGAACCCCCCAACCATCCTACAGGTCGAAAGGGAGCCGCCTCACGGTAGTCCACGGCATTGGCCTCGACCTGGCCCGCAGCTAGGCCACCAAAGACGGCAACAGGAACATTTCCGGGCGGCAGGGATGGAAGGATTGGATTTGGCGAGCAGCCAGGGCTCGAGGGAGGTCGGGACCGAGGTGGGAAGTGAGCGCCTCATGGAGGAAGCGCCGTTGGAGGATGAATGGGTGCCCGCCCGGCCTTCCCTTGGCTTGGACTATCGGGAGGAGGACGAGGAGGAGGAGGGCATGTACCCCCGCCCTCCACTGGTCCTGTCTTCCCTCCCTACCCTCCCCCCCACCTCCCCGCCGATGCTGTCCGATGGATCCCGCCCGTCCTCGCCGGCGGGCGCCGCCCCCATCCCACCCACTGGAGCGAGAATGCGGAAGGAAAGGCTACCCGGATCGTTCGCCGATCGAGGCAGAGGCCTGGGGGCACCGGGCTTGTCCGTGAACCTAAATCCTTTCCTCCCCTTTGCCTCGAATCTTGGCACCTCCCATCCAAAGCATATATTTCCTCTCTACGGTGGCTGTGAGACGCTGCGCCCGCCCCCTGACTCAGATCCTCCCAAACCACCTTCCCATCCCTCCTCCCCCCGCCCCTCCCTCCCGCCCTCCCTCTCCCGCTACCTCTTGGAGTTTGAAGACCTGGGTGTCCTTGGCGAGCCCTCTCCGATGCTTCCTCCCTCGGTCCCTCTCCCCCTTCCTCCTTCCTGGCCCGCTTCCTCTTCCCTCCCCTCCTCGACCGCGACCGTGCGTGGCCCCAGCAGCAGGAAGGACCGGTCCGAGGGCCTGAACGACGACAAAACCGAGCACCCCGACATGTGTGGCGTCCACAGCAGCAGTGGCAGGAGCGAAAGCGTGGACGGAGGGAAAAAAAGTGGTCCTCGCGTGCGTCACGAGACCCTCCTTCCCCACCACCACCCCTCCCCTGCCCCTTCCAAGCTTCCTGCGTCTCCTCCCCAAGGAACTTCCGTCCGCATGGGCTTGAAACGCGTGGACGGTTGTTTGTACGCCGTCAAACGGCTTCCCTACCGCTCCAAACCCCCAAAACTGCGCGAAACTTCCCTCCGGGTCCTTTATGCGTGGGCGGCGCTGGCGGAGTGTCCCAAACTGGTTCGGTGCGTACCATGACCCAAGCGCTCGCTCTGCAATTCTTTTTCATTATCCTTCTCCCCCTCTTTTACCGACCTCCCACGGCCCCCTCCCCTGCTCATGCGTCCGTCGCTCTTGACCTCGCAACTGTCTCACTATTTTCTCCCTCCCTCCCCTGCCCCACCCCCCCTCCCTCCCTCCCTGCCCCACCCCCCCTCCCCTCCCTCCCTGCCCCACCCCCCCTCCCTCCCTCCCTCCCTCCCTCAGATACTACGATTCTTGGGTCGACCACGACGGTTACCTCTATCTCCAGCTAGAGCTATGCACCGGTGGAAGTTTAGAGCAGAGAATGAGGGAAGGACGGGAGGGAGGGCGGGAGGAAGGGAGGGCTCTGGCGGTGGGGGCGGCTGCCGCCTCAGGAGACGGCTACCATGGCAGCTTGTCTCGCCATGGTCCCAGCCCTTGGACGGAGGCCTACCCGACCGCTCTGAGCACCGGGAATAGCCACTTCCTCATAAGTAAAAGCAGTGGGGAAGGCACTTTTTACCAGCAGCTTCCTTCCCCCTTCCTCCCCCGCCCTTCCTCCCCCCCGCCCTGGACCGGCTCTCCGACCGAGGTCCTGGTCGTCCTCAAGGACATCAGCCTCGCCCTCCACCACATGCACAAGACGGGTCTGGCGCATCTCTCGCTCACTCCGGCCCATATCCTCTTGACCGAGGATGACGCCTCGTATAAACTTGGGAGCCTGGGGCTCGCCTTTCCCGTCCGCCGCGGCATGTCCTCCCCCGCTCCCTCCACCACGACCTCCTTCCCGCCTTCCTTCTTCGCCGACCAGAGGGATCACTTGGAGTACATGGCACCGGAGCTTCGGAATGCTTCCTCCGTCCCGCCCTCCCTCGATGCTTCCCTGTTCGCGGCGGACGTCTATGCCTTAGGAGCCGTCCTCCGGGCGGCGACGAAGCACCGGGCGAGGGCGGGAAAGAGGGCGGGAGGGAAGGAGGGCTGGTCCGAAGGTTGGCGGGACGAGGTGTGCAGGCAAGTAGAGGCGCTGCTGGGGAGGATGATGGATAGCGACCCCGCGCATCGCCCGTCGGCCAGGACCGTCCTGCTGACCGCGATCGTGTTGCTGGCAGAGGGAGGGAGGGAGAGGGAGGACGATGGGACGGAGGAGAGGATGGAGCCCCAGACAGAGGAGGAAGAGGCCTCAAAAAGGCGCGAACGAAAGGCCGTCGGTGAAGAGGACCGTTGCGAGGGCAAGCCAGGGCAGCCCCAGCATGCCCCTCTGCCTTGGCCACGGGAGCGGAAGGAGTGGCCGCAGGGGCGGCGGGGCTGAGGGCGACAACTTTACCGGAGAAAAAGGGTCGCGTCGAACGCTGGTCGACAAGGAGAAGGTCCGTTTGACGAGCACATGTAGCGGGAAGAGGGAGGGAATGGGGAAGGAGAGAGGGGGGAAATTGGAAAGGTCATCAGCAGGGAAAGAAGAGCCGCAGGTCGAAGAACGCGACGCGGCTTCTCCTTCCCATCAAAGCCTCGGGAAGGGAAAAGGAATCGCTCATTTGTCATGTCTTTGCACGTATGGTCACCTGCTACAGCCCTTGTCTGCTTCTCCGAGAGATTACCCGGAGGGTGGAGGGACACTTGGGCAGGAAGGCGAGCCCTCTTCTCGATGTCCGTCGTTGACATTTAGGCACTCGATTCCGAGGGAAGAATTGCGAATGGGCCCGGACCAGAGGAAGAATAGAATGGGGAAAAGAGCGTCAAACGACGGTCAAAGGAGGGGGGCGGAGGATATGATTGCTGGCTGTAGCAATGGCTGGTTCGATGGTACGTCCCTCACCATCTCTGTTGCGCAGCCGGAGTCGCGTCGCCCTTCCGTCAAAGCTGCTCGTAAGACGGTAGAGCGGCCATGCTACCTGCGGACAGTAAAATGCCCGCCACACAGCGTGCACCGTTGCTGCGGGCCAGAAGTCTCGTGCAAGTCAACGGGCTCTGTGTCCTTGTCTGAAAAAGGATGCGGCAGCGAGATGCTCCTGGGGAGCAGAGGGCAGCACCAAAATCTTCCATGTCATGGTGCGTCTCATCCATCGCAGGATTATTATCGGACGGAAGAGGATGCGGAAAGGGTTGGGAACACATTTGAGAACGAGAAAATGGATTGTTCGCCTGCTTGAGTGTGGAAAGCGGGCGCTCTCAATGATGTACATTGGTGAATCGTATGTGGTTACATATGAATGGATGGCGGATTTTATTTAATGACGTCTTTGATTTATGAGAAATGAGGGCCAAAATTGAAAGAAATTATCAGAATTATGTTTCAATGTTATTTAGCTACCTTTTAACGACACGATTTCTACAATTCTTTACACGCCTGAGTCAGTACTTTTCCGGAAATTTCCTTGATTAAGAATGATGAGCAAGTCAAGCAAGCCATGCTACATCTTATCGAATCATATTATACTGATTGTGCATGAGCAAAATCTCGAACACCCGATACTCTCTTTCCTTTCTGACATTTCACGGGGTTGAAGATTAACTTCCATCTCTGCTCGAATTTTAACGGCTTGCACTGCTTCGATCATTTTTTTTGCACTCCACGCCTTTATTCATTACACACCGATATAAATTGTACATTATAAACAGATGAACATATCAATCTTGAGCTTGTTGGGCTCTTTGAGCACAGCGCGTCTGCCGATGGTGAACCAGCGCTTGTGCTCGTGTATTCCCGCCCTTCTGTTTGCCACCCTCCTTCTCTTTTTATCTTCTGCACATGCCTACCGCGAGAATTATACGTGCCATTTCGCACCTTCCATCCCTGAAGATCGTCGTCCAAGTCCTTATCGACTTCGTATAGTCCAGTTCAACGTGGAATTTTTCTTCCTCGATCAAAGTGAAGGAGGTTTAGTATGTCCGGGACCTGATTGTCCTTGGCCAGACGCGGAAACTGCGCATGCTCATGCACTTCGGATAGCCAACGTTTTGAAAGAATTGCGACCTGACATTGTGAATTTGTGCGAAGTGGAAGGATGTGACGAGATAAACTGGTTGGCGACGAGGTTGAATGAAGAGGCCTCCGAGCGCGTGCAGGAAGAAGCAGGACCAGACACGCCGACTCAAGCCTTTGGCTACAATTATTTCCTGCTGAAAGGCCAGGACACTTTTACGGTATGTGTGTGGGCAGTGTCTTCTCCCATTTAATACCGCGCAATGGTTTTGACGAACGCTGACTTCTCATCCTCTGCTATTTTCGTGGCACCAATTATCCCTCCAGGGTCAAAACACTGCCCTTCTCACCCGTATCGATCCCTCCACGGACCTTGATCGAAGCACCGACAGGGTTCCATACCCTCTGCCTGGATCCCAGTGTGGTTGGGAGACAAGGAGAGCCAGCGCCTGGGCGGGGGGAAATTTCCGGCAGCAATTTGGAGACCGAACCAACGGGCACATTGGAGGGTCGGCCGATGGACAGGCGGGGGTTTCCAAGCATTATTTCACGACCTTCCACCTGCAAGAGGTGGGCGTGAAAATCGCCATAGTGGGGATCCATCTGTTGGCCCGGCCCATAGACCCAGAGCGATGCGCGGAGCGGGAGGCCCAAGCCACGGTGTTGCGGGGTGTGGTCGACGGCTTTATTGCCGAGGGTTACGAGGTTGTCGTCCTCGGTGACTTTAATGGTAAGCACTCTGGTACAGGGATGGCGGTGGGGGGACGCTCGCGGCGATGCCTGGTTCATCCATGGGAAGCCCCCTGTCCCCCATCGGCTATCTCCGTCCCTCCCTCTCTCCCTCCCTTCCTCGCTCCCTCTCTCCCTCCTTCCCTCCCTCTCTTGTCCTCTGTATTTTCAGACTTTGATGGCTCGGTGCCGGACATCAACAACAACTTGCCCACGTCCCGCGTGATGGAAATTCTGAAGGGAACGGATCTTTTTCCCACCGCCACTTTTCTGCCTCAAGCAGAGCGTTACACCGATTGGTGGGACCGAAATGGAAATTGTCAGGTGGACGCTCCGGAGGTACGTTTTCCATCAACCTCCCTTTTATTCCCGCCCGTTGGTCGTCTTCCCGAACTTGTTTTCCTCCCGTCCTGTCTCTCGGTCTTTCTTGGCGTCTCGTATAGACATGGCATGGAGAGTGCGTGCTGCAGACATCCCTTTTAGTTCCTTATAAGACGATTGAAATCATGACAAAAAATGCCTTTCCTTACTCCCTCAGGAGCTGGATATGATCGACCACGTCCTGCTCACAAAAGGCCTGCAGGAGCGTGTCATTGCCGTGTACGTCTACCATGCGTATGACGAGTATTGTGGCACCTTAGATAGCGACCATTACCCGGTGGTGATTGATTTGGAGTGGGAAGGGGTCAAGAAGGAGTGGTTGGACGACTTGGAAACGGAAGGGTCAAGCAAAATGGCGTAAAATTATCTGTAGATGGTCAAGTTCTGTAAAGGGTGCGATGAAACAGAAAGATGGAGACAAGTCCCCAAAAATCGATAGGCACGTAGATTGTACATAGAAAGATGAGTACGCCTGTGAAGGTGAAAATGGATGACGTCATGACTGAATGGCAGTGGATAGCTGGAGAAATCGACGTTCCTTGGGGGACCGGAGCTTGTGTCAGTACGACTTGAGCAAAGTAAAGAGCACGAGCAATCAGAAAGCGGAGGAGCGGATGATCATCTTGATGCGAATGGCAAGCGCTTGATCTTATTTTGCCGTGTAACCTTTGACACGAATATAAGGATGACATGATGATGACAATTAAGGAACAGGAGATCAGCGCTAGGAGGTTGGGGGAATCGGGTATCAGCGATAAAGGGTTTAGAGAGTGTTGCAGCTATTTCCTTTATGAGTTCTAGGTCTGTACCACGTCGTGCTGATCGCTATTGTGTCATGTCATGGTTTTGCGTCCACCTAATCATTTTCTATGTTATATCATAATACGACGACAGGACTGGCGTCGACCAGTGTCTTTGGTTGTCTGTCCTATTGGTTATCTTAGTACGAGATTCTTGGGTGAATCATTGGTATACATTCTCAGGGAGAATAGTGGTCGTACTGAAGAATTAATTGGGTATTGAGTTACCCGTGACATTTTTGGTTTGTTTATTCGCATCAGGTTATGGGCCCTAGTTGACCAAACCTTTGAACTGAATAAATAGCTGATTATTCAAGACACTGATCGACGACCTATTTCTGGTGCAATTGGATTTGCAGAAATAGAGGTCTGGACGTATTTGAATCTCTCTGGTGCAATTGGATTTGCAGAGAGTCAGGACTGTTTTTAATTGGTAATTGGATTTGCAAAGAAAAAGGCTGTTTTAATTAGCAATTTGTTGCTAGATTAAAGACAGCATTTAATTGGATCTGGAGGCTTTCCATTTTAGCTGGCCAGGATCATAAATTAAAGTCATGGGAGATAATGAAGATTATCGAATGACTATCTTCAGTGAAAGATTAGAGGATTAGGACGTGTGGAAACGCGATATAGAAAGCTTTATCGGGGCAGAGGACCAAGAGATGGCTGATATCATTATTGGATTAACCAAGGCACCGATTTCTGGGGACGAGGTAAAATCTTATGATGAGAAGAACGCTAAAGGTTACTTTACCCTTATGAAGTACCTTAAAGGAGCGGCTGCAAGTTTAATCGAGACATTCCGTCCAAACAAGGATGGGGCTGGTGCTTTCAAAACACTCACGGACAAGTATGAATTGAGGGGAGAGACGCAGAAGGCGTTATTAATGTCCGAGTTCAGCCAACTTAATTTCGATGAGAAGGGTGATCCGGGAGAGACCTTTGAAGCAGCTGAGGAACTTGCCAGAAAATCAAGAATCGTTTTGACATGGAAATCAATGAATCCATGCTTCTCACTCATCTTATCAATTAAATTTCATCCGCTTATGGAATGGTAAAAGTGAGTTTGGAAACACAAGATTTGATGACATATTCCAACCTAAAGTCAAAAATGATCAATCATTTTGTGAAAAAAAATAGCTTCTTAGGTCAAGGATGATCAGTGTCTAGCAATATATACGGGCATAAAGGAATAGAATGCTTCGTAAAGAAAAAAAATGGCAGAGGCCGAGCGGGACCTCCTAAGAATGGAAATAGACTGGGCCGGTACGAGCGTGTACCTGGCAACCCCTACAATGGCCCTGGCAAAGGCGGGCGCAATAATTTCGGACTGAGAAATAGAGGCCGTGGAGGCCGTAATGGACGTGGTCGTGGCAAAGGATTGCAAGGCGGAAATGGTTGTCGCTATTGTGGAAGCGCAGATCACTGGGGCAATGAATGCCCTAAGAATAAAAGGGAACATTCCCATACTTGCCTGCTAGCTAACAAAAGGACGAATACAAACGTAAGGCAGATGAAATCGACCTCTATAATGGTTGATAGCGGGGCAACTTCCCACATGAAAAGGGATACCGAAGAATTGGTTAATGTCGGACAACACTGTGGTCACGTGTATGTAGCAAATGGTGATAAGCTAGAAATACATTACATTGGAGATTGGATCATGAAGGTGAAATATTGCGATGGGACTATCAAAGGCGTCATGTTTAAGGATGTAATTAGAGTACCCAATCTGAGTCGCGAATTATTATCCATGGCAAAAACAGATAAGGCTGGTGGAAGAATTGTTATCCGTGAAGGAAAAGGTATGATTCAAAAGGGTGACACATGCTTGCCGATGAGAAAAGTAGATAACATGTACCTGTTAGACTGCTACGGCGAACCATGTGAGGAAGCTAATGTAGTTAGCTCACCTGAATTATGGCATAAAAGGTTCGGACACATCAATTATGAATACCTGAGACAAATGGGTGAAATTGATGATACCGGAGTGCCAAAAGGGATGAAGAAACCTGGTATTTGTGGGACGTGTGAACGAGGAAAACAAACTAAAATGAATTTCAGCGCCAAGTCTAGGGAGAGGGCGAAGGAGCCTCTCGAACTAGTTCACACTGATGTACTTGGACCAGTCGAAGTAGAATCACTTGGTGGCGCACGATATGCGATTGGATTTACGGATGATTACACCCGATGGAGGGTGGTATATCCAATGAAGTGCAAATCAGAATGTCTAGATTGTTTGAAACGGTACATTCAAGAAATGAAAGTATTACTACATGATTACGAAGTAAATTCTTTGATTGGAATAAGATCGGACAATGGAGGTGAATATACTGGCATAAATTTCAAGAATTTCTGCAAGAACAACAGTATCAGACAAGATTTTAATATGCCATATAGGCCACAAGATAATTGAGTTGCCGAGAAGTCATGGCATATATTGTTAAATTTGCTCGAAATCTTCGCATACAAGCCGGACTGGGAAAATGTTTTTGGGCTGAAGCCTTGAATACTGCAACATATATTCTAAACCGATCTAGAACTGCATTGAGTGGAGGCGAAACGCCCTACTACAAAATGTTCGGGAAGCCTGCGAACGTCAAGCATTTTAGAATTCTCGGATGCAAGGCATTTGTGCATAACACATCTGTTACAAGAAGGAAACTTGATAATCGCGCTTCAGAAGGGATCATGATTGGATATGATGACATAGGGAGCAATCCTAAATGTTATCGAATTTTTTTGCCTTCTATTGGAAAATACATCAGATCTGGTCATGTCACGTTTGATGAAGAGACACCGGCGAGTATAAGGCAACCTAACACTAGAGGTGAAACTTATCATAATGAGGAAGAAGATGATAAGGATTCTCTGAAGACAGTGGGGGCTCATCAGGAAGATGAGGTACTACCTTCTGATACAAGTGAGGATGATGACGGCATCGAAAATGGGTCACATCAAGATGAACAACCTGATGATCGTGATGTCGATCATGTCAGGGAGGATCCGTCGCAAGTGGGGGCGACAGGATGGAAAGACACTGATGATATTATTCGGAATATGAACAGTATGGGACGCACAC